GGCTCAACAGGCTGTGTTCAAAATGGCCGAGCAGTGAACAAACAGAAGTTCCAGTTTTGACACATTTTGTGGAAGGGGTTGTTTTTTTGTTTTTGTTTTTGTTTTTTGTGATGTAGCAAGTGAATTTACTGGAGCAGAACAAGGGCAGACAGTTTTGTAACTTTGCCTTGAAAGAAGCCAATGTCTCATGAATCATATGAGAACAGAGGGTCATAAACTTTGTTTATAGGACACAGTTGTTAATTTTATCTGTACCAGAACAAGGAGTTACAACTGCAGGGGAGAGGGGGTTGATGGGGAAGACTGTCTGAAGATGGGAAGAACCAGTTTTCCTTTAAGTCCTGCTTTATCCTACCTTCTGATTTCTAACTGGTCAGCTATAACAGGGCCAGCTGTCACAAAACAGAAGGAAACAGGGCCATACACATCATCTACCAATACCAACACTGCTCTCAGGGCTTTGTCTTCTCCCTGACTGGCCACCTCAGCCCATGCTGAAGGCCCTGAACAACTGTAGATCCTTGAGGGTAGACAGCCAGGAAGCTGGTACATCATGTGCGGGCTCTACTTCTACTGATTCCAGTGGTTCACACAAGTGTGATAAACCCTTTGAAAAGGTACAAACTACTGAATTACTTTGTTTCTCCACAGCCTGTCTCTCCTGGTTTCATTTTTAGATTTTAAAATCGTCAGACAGGCTCCCTGTCTTTTCTCTCCATAGAAGACCGTGTCACACTACTTTAGATCAGTCCTGGCATTTAGATTTTAAAAATGTATCTTTAAAAGAAATGCAATCAAGACTAGTACTCCCCATATCAGATTTGCATGTGTTATGAACAAAAAGCATAGAAAGAAAAATAGCTATATATCTCTGTAAACAATTTGATCCAATGCCAGAACCCATTCATCTTGACTTGGCTGTGAGCAGTATTCTAGTGTTGATTTATAATCTAAGTCCCTTTACTAGTCAAAGAAGTACCTAGCCCTGAGCTCTGGTATTAAAACAACAACCAACAAATTAGCATCGTATTCACAAAATTAAACTAAACAACTGTACCCAAAGACACTGAAAACAAAAGGCTAAAATTTAAAACTGGATTCACATATTCTAGTGAAATGTCTCAGTGTGTATTTTTACTGAAGGGTTGTTTGCTGCAGGATAGGAACAAAAGAGAAAAGTAATAAATGATTCCATTTTACAGTTCTGAATTGCCTCTGAAGGACAATGTCAAACTAGAAATATTGCTGTGGGCATTTTGGGAAAATACTATCTGCTATGCACCCTTTAACTCTGACATTTAATTTTTAAGTTTTAGTTTAAGATACTTGTAAGCATCAAAGGTCACAAAGTTTATACCTATAAAAGTCTCTTAATGTGGGTTTTTTAAAAAACAGATTACTGCAAATGAATTATGATTAATTTTTTAATCTAGCATATGTTTAATCCTTTGTTTACTAAATATCGTCTAATCACTTCATTTTTTTTCTTTTATTGAGTTTAGTGGTACATATTAGGTATACAATATCATTATATTCATTATTTGGATCTTGTACCTTTACATGACAGGTCTTGGTTCTCATTTTTTTCCCTTTGTCCGTGCCCTCCCTTCACCCTCTCTTCATTTTGTATAGACAGAAACTAAACCCACTGACAATAAGTGATTTTTCCAAGGCTAAGAACCCTAAGAATATATAGCAAAGTGATATAATACTCCTACTTCTTATTCTTTTTTTTTTTTTTCTTTTCAGTACTGGAGCTTGAACTCAGGACCTTGTATTTGCAAAGCAGGCACAGTGCCACTGAGCAGAATCCCCAGCCCATAATCTTCCTAATTCTAAAAATAATATATATAAAGCCAGTGATTGAAAATATTGATTTGTTTCTCAAGGCATCCTACCATTATGTTCTATAGAATACTAAGATATTTAGCAAGTAGGTATTCTTCGGTCAAATAAGTTTGTAAATATTGGGTTAAACAAAGGCACCTAGAGGCTTACCAAAGCAATGAGCTTTACTAACTCTGAGAGATAAAGCAGGCAATTGGTTTTGCAACTTTATTGGACCACAGACTTGATTTTCTACTCACAGAACACAGCATCAAACCAAAAGTCCTATTTTGCTTCCCCAGAATTTATCATCAAAATGACACCAGAAGGATCCTTCTAAAACCTGATCTGGTTATAAAGTAGCTGCTTAGCTTCTATGCTTTCATAGGCTCCCCTTAGCTAGCCTGACCAAACCCCCTGTTTGGCATGGCATGAAAGTCCCCCATAACCTAAACAGATCAGATTTTATGTCATCTGAAACCTTACGCTACGGAGTGGCGACTTTAGATCTTCTTATCCCTACATATCTAAGAGACACCACAAACACATCCATTGATAGCGAGGTAGGAGGTGGCAAGGAGTTCTTTAAAAAGTATATCTGAGATCCCAGTGGTCTCTGGGTATTGATTTGTTCAGATATAGTTTGAGAAAGAAATAATTTCTTTTTTTCTGTTTTAATCAGTATTTAAAACTAACCCTTCTGAGTCCATGGACAGACAGCAAGAAAACAGAACAAAGCCCAAATGTGGCCCATGATCCACATTTCACTACGTCCTAAATAAGAAAAAAACACAATAGGACACAGAGGTAATTCTTTCCTACTACTGGCGGCGTCCAGGACCAAAAAAAAAAAATTAACAGGAAACCTATAATCCAATTAATAGACCAGCTATTAAAGTATCCCACCTCGCACCATCCCATGCTAAGACTCTACTCTGAGAACAGTATCTACCCCAGGCTGCAGCAATTACAGCCTCTCTTCAACAGGGGTGAGCTGGGTCAGAAAATGCAGACTAGCTGACAAAGAATGCCACCCAAAAATTAGCTCACAATTCTCAATTCAGCCAGATATTTGAGGAGTCAAATGAAAGAGGTAACACACAAAAGAATCTGTGAAGAATTTATATGGAAACCGAAAAGAAAACAATGACTACCTCAGAAACATAAAGAGAAAAAATACGACCTTTAAAAATGTTATGTAAGACCAAATATACTTTAAAGCAAAACATAATCGTCAAAACATTTTTTAGAAGGGGTAGCTAGCCAATCTGAATTTAAAACTTCTGTAAGTTTTAAAGAAACAATGTATCAAATAGAGAGATTTTTCCCAGAACTACAACACAAGTGAATGAAGATATGAAAAGTACAAAAGAAATGTTAAGAGAGAGCTGAATCCAACTGGAAGTTTCATTATCTTAAAAAAAAAAAATTCTATAAGAAGAAAAGAGAATGGAGAAAGAGGCAACATCTGAAGTAAGATCTGAATATTTCCTAGAATTAAAAATAAAATGCAGGTTGGGCCAGGGATTTAGCTCAGTGGTTCTGCCGCCTGCCTTGCAAGCTCAAGGTCCTGAGTTTGATCTGTGGTTCCAAAAAAAAAAAATGCAGGTTGATGAGCAAATAAAGTTTACAAACTACCAAACAGGTTAACACCCATGCACACATGCACACATGCACAGACAAATCACCCCTCACATGGTACAGTGAACTTGCAAAAACATTAAGGTAAACAGAAATCACAAAATTCAACCAGGAAAAAAAAAAAGCAGATTATGAAATGAAGGAGAATCACAACAGAATCAAACAGTCAAGATACCATCATACTTCTCATGAGGTCCACAGGATACAGAGAACAATGGAGCGTTGTCTTAAAAGGACTTAAAATTCTAGGCAGTTAAAGTACCTACCATTTAACAGCAACAAAAAGATGTTTTGGGACATGCAAACATCCCAAGTTAGCAGTAGATAGATACATTTTAGCAAGGATAACAAGTGCTTCAAGGACATAGCAGTGATATTTAACAAGCACTGTTGAAGAAAGTTTTTCAAATTTTTTGTTTCCAAAATGAGTAAGAAAAATGCTATTTACTAGCAATATAATGAAGCATAAATAAATAAAAGCAACATGAGAACTGGGGAATGGGAATCTGAGAAAAGAAAAAAATAAGGCATTGTGTTCTTAACCTGCTGCGGAAGAAATCCTTAGAAGTTGAGTTTTTGTTTTTTCTAAGTGCTTCTAAAATTAGTTAAGTATTAAATGGGGTCTGCATATTTTATTCTTTTGTTTTGACACAGGGTCTCACTACATAGCCCAGGCTGATCTGAGACTCCTGGGCTCAAGCAATCATGCTATCTGAGCCTGCTAATCACTGGGATCACAATTGTGCCACCATGCCTGGCTAAAATTAGTTTAAGTGTTGAAATTTAAAATTGATAATTAGATAATCTATCTGAGGGAAAAAGCAAGTGTATCATTGTGTATACTTGGGAGGAATAATGGAGACAGAGGTTTGCTCACATGTTCATGAAACTCCCCAAGTCTGCGAACCTTTGCTTTACAGCCAATTGCTTCCATCTGAATCTGTCCTAAAATTCTCACTTTCCTCCTTGTCTCTTCTCATGATCCCACCACACACTGGACAGATTTTACATGACAGCATCTGTGATACTTTACCATGTTGCTTACGAAACAATCTTGTTCGTTAAACAGACGGTCTGAAGGACTAGGGCACCCTCCTCATATCTACATCCCTACTGCATTAGAGTCAAGCTTGTAGAATAGATGGACAAAGGCATT